GTCTGATGAGGATTTCTTCTTCTGTCCATTTATTAACTTCTCTTCTTTCCCGGCCATCTCCTGCTGGCACATAGACTTCTAGTATGCCGATGTGTCTTTTTTCCTTGAATTGGAGGTCAATACTTATTCCTTTGCCCGGGTATTCTTTTATTTTTCCAATGTGCTTGCCAAACTCTTTTTTGATGATTAGTGCAATACCAGCTCCTTTGTTATTGTTGCTCCAGATTATATTATAATTAGGGTGTTTTCAGAGTTTGTGATTGTCATTTTGTATTTGTGTTTTGGTAATTATTGCTATATCTATATCTCTCTGGGTGCAGTAGGTAAGAAAAGTTTGATGTTTGATTGAATTGTTGATGCCCCTTACATTGTGTGTAAGTATTTTCCATGTGGTCGTGGATGGTTGCACAGGTGTAGTGTTGTGGCTGGTGCTTGTTGTTTCGGTATTATTTGTTAATGATGGTATGTGTGGGGAAACTTCTATTAAATCTTTCTCATTGTTCATCATATGTGGCAGGTTGTTGAGGATTGTTTGTAGTAATATCGATGATCTGGTTGAGGGTGCCCACTATACTCTGGAAGGTGTCATCTATATTTGCCATGCGTGTGTTGAGATAGATTTGTTGCTCTCGAATATTGAGTGTGTCTACTGCCGGGCTTGTTGCTTGCCTTTTCCGCTGGTAGTTGAAATCTCTTGGTTCAGGAGTGGTTGTGCGTGGTGGATTTTGGTCCAAGTATTCTTTGCTTGTTTCTATGGCTGCTTGTACTTGTTCCTCGTCATCAACTGTGTAGAAGTATGTGAACTCTTCCAAGTTGTTAACTCTGCTGTTAAGGTCGTTGATGGTTTCTTTGATGTCTTTGAATTCTGCTCCTATTGTCTGTACAGCTTTGAGAACTTCAGTCAGGAATGATTGAAGGTTGATCATTGCTGCAGGATTGTTTACTGCCAGGTTTGATCCTTTGCTGGAGGCTCGCCTGGCGATTTGGGCGAATGTCCCTTTGCTTGCAAACCTATTGAAGGTTCTGTTGAACTGTTCCCAGGCTCTCAGACGGTTCTGACTGGCTGGTTTGGAGTTTTGTTTGGATGCAATTCTCCTGATGTTTGCTGTTCCTGCTGGTTTGAATTTTTGATAGAGTGAGTTGTATCTTTTTGCTTTATCCTTGAGTAGTTGTTGTTTCTCTTGGCGTTTTGCTTTAATTGTACAATTTGCCACCAGGTGGTCCGCTGTACTACAAATTGCACATAATTTCTCATCTGTTTCATGTCAGTAGAGAGGTGTTTCTCCCAGATATACTTCCTGATTCTTGGCTTGTTCCTTCGCTTCTGCCGAAGTGAAGTTGAGAAAGGCAAACCATTTTTTTGTATAGTTTCGATTTCGAGGAATATGGCAGGATGCTGCCTTGGTAGTACTGATGATGTCACGTAGGTCATATTCTGTGGTACCAGGAGGAAGATTGGTGAGTCTCAGAGTATGTTTGTCCCGTGTTTGTTTGACCTCGAATGTTTTTAAAAGAGAATAGATTCTCAGGAGTTCTCCCTTAAATGGGATGCTCCACCTTGTACAAATTTTATTGTAGTCTTCTTGTTTTGCAAATTCGACTAGTACGCATTGCCACATGCCTGTAGAGGTCATTCTAAGACTTTTAATTTGTCCGAATTGGGTGAGTTTTTGCCTAATTTCTTGTTTATTGGTGTCAAGGGGAATGTCCCAAACATGGATTGACTTGTTCTTGGCTTCTTTTAGGTCCAGATCAGCCAAAATGGCCATGTGGTGGTCGTTATTTCTTTGGATTGGCATTTTGCATGCTTTTTGGGCATCTTTTAATTGGCAAATGAAGCAACGATCAATTTTGCCCTTGTTGCTGCGCCACATGGGTGCCTATGTAGGAGTCAAGTTGAGAGACTGTTTCTTTGACTGCGTTGAGTTTCTCCTCCATGGTGCCAGTCAAGCTTTCTGCTTGAATAGCCATTTTGAAGCGGGAATGGCCGTATTGGGTGCGCCAGTCTGTGGGCGGCCCATAGGGGTGCCTGGCCGGCTTGGGTAGTTGGTGCTGGGTGGGCGGGGCGTCCTCTGCCTCGCTCTCTGGGTCTGTTAGTGTTGGGTTCTCGTCCGAGTCCCCAAAGGTGGGTGGTGTTAATACCCGTTGTATCTCTTTTGTATCCATGTTGATGTCTGCTTCCCAGCCGAAGGAGGCTTCTACCCCTTCCTCTATGGTGACTTCCCAACCGGGTGGCTGGCTGCTGCCTGCTTCGGGTGTTGTTAGCTGCTGTTTTTGCTTGAGTTTTTGCTGCTTTTTAGCCGCTGGGGGCTGTTGCTGGGTGGAGGAGGGCGACCCCTTGCTCCTGGAAGTGCTATTGTTGTGTATTGCCATGGTAGGTGGGGCCTTTGGACAGATTCCTGGCTGATTACTGCGGATTTTAGGCGAATCTGGGTAATCAGGAAAGAGTTTTTTTTTTTTGATTTTATAGATTATATACATTATAATAATAATAAATTATTAAAAATAAATTAATAATTAATAAAGTTATAAATTTGATAAAAGTTATTAAATTTTCAATATTTTATTATCATTTTTTTTATAATTATTAATTTAAATTAAATAATTTTATATTTATTAAGTTTTTTTAATTAAAATTCTATAATAACAATACATGTTTTTAAAAAAAAACTCTTTCTTGAAAATCTCGAATTCGATAAAAATTACTATATAAGGAAATACTAAATTTCGTCTCAAAAAAAAACTGTCAAAGACCCTGGAGGAGTTTCTTCCTCCAAGGGCCAGTTTAATAACCATGAGCACATTCTCCTGGATGTACTCATTACTGATATTCAAAAACCTGAAGCAGTCATTATCTACAAAAACACTAAAACAAGTAAAATCATCATCTCCCCTTCAAACTCCTCCCACAAACTTCTGAAACTTGGAAATACTCCTCAATCTTGGCTTACGCCAGTGCGTTCCACTACTGAAGGTCCAGAAATACCTAAAGTAATCACCACTTCTTTTGAAGTTTACCAAAGAACCAGAATCTCCACACCAATAACTATCGTCAACATCTCTTATTTGGATCCCATGCCAGCAGACTCTCTCAATGCTTTTTTCGATTTTCAAAATATATTTGAAATAACTGATGAAGATAGAACTGAATTAATGAAAGAGATTATGAAAAAACATCTAAATTATAAATTACACATGCCTTGGAACAGACTCGACATTCTCTTCTCAAGCACAGACAATACTTTTTCCTTGAAGCAAAAAACCGAAACACCCAGACCCCCTCCAAACACTCCAGCTCCTAATGAGGTAATGAGCGACGACAATGAAATGCAGGACGATTGTTCAAATGAAACACCACATGCAGCTACCCCTGACCACAATGTAGATCAAATCAGCCCTCATGCAGGATCAAGCATCATGCATGAATCTAATCAAACCAGCCACCTCACATCTGTAACACCTAATAACAGCACAGAAATGGAAATTGATGAGCAAAACACACGAGCCTCTGTTTCTTCACAAATTGAGTCAGCTCCAGCCACAGTCATTGGATCCTGGGCAGATGAAGTCAACAACATTGAAATTACTACCAGATCCAACACACCATCAACAATTGAAGGAGATATTAAAAAAATCAATCCTCTGGACGAATATTCCAAAATCCTTGAGCTTTGTAGAGAAGTTGATAAATGCGAAAGAAACATCGATGCCATTATTCAGTGGCTCCTTAAAATCAGGGAGGAAGGCCCTTCTGAGATAAAACCAACAACCAAAGCCATAATGACGAAAATTGGATATAGAGACCGTAGTTTTTTCAGGACCTTTGCCAAGGAAATCTCTCTAAAGGGTCAACATCAAATTGAATATGAGAAACTGGAAAAAGGCTTCCATGATAACTACCTAAAAGTTAATAATATTGGCTATATTAACAGAACAACCTGGAAAAAAATAAGAATAATTATCAATAAAGCTCTATTCATTACCTTTTTGAAGTCCACAGACCTCGCCTCTTTTAAACATTGGCAAATAGCCCAATTTTTGGAATATGGTTTCAACTTCTTTATTGACCTCACATCCGAAAAATTGAACTACAAAATCCTCTTACTTAAATGCGAAGAAGCCATCAAAAGTAAACTTCCATTGCTACCCACCCTGCCTGATCATATTCTGGCTTCAATCAAAATCAAGCTTCCATACACCATTCCTATTATCTCCTCCAGAAATACAGCCGATGTGGCAAGCAGTCTCAGAGCATATTATAACTTTGACCAGCTTCCTGCCTCATTTTTCGTT